GCGGTGGGTACACAAACCTTGGCAAGGTAGTCAAACTGAAAGCCTTTCACTGGCGACCCATTGAGGAAGTTTCCAATTGCAAGAACCGTCGAGAGGATAATTCTAAATGTTTTGTTACTCTCGATTTCGGCTATCGTTTGTTTTAAATCCGTAAGCGGTTCCGCTACCTCTTTTTCTAGTATGTTATAGTCCAGCACGAAAGCCCATAATCTGAAAAACACACAATGTAATATGCTGAATATTTGTTTATTACTCTATCTGCAAGTTAACATCAATTTACATTAAGTGATTACCGCTTCGCGGTTACGTCAGCTGAATGCAGACAACTACGACTAGACTCACAGATTACAATTAGGTTATGCTATTTATACAGAAGAGCGTGTGATTCCCTGCTCGTATCTTCACGAAATCATTCTAACTGCTTTACGTGAACTATTGCCAGGTATCACGTAGACGCTGGTTTAATATACCTCAGAAATAGCTGGCTTGACAAAACAGATCTAACCTAAACTCTGCTCAGAGAACCGATTCATTTTGTTGTCTATATATAGAAGGGTTGAGTTTCAGCGAAATGTGCCCACGTTTAGCTAGTTGTTAAACGGTGTTCACTGAGAGCCTCGGCTGTGTAATAGTATATAACAAGAATACTACAGATGTATTTGAGCCGTGGCTCGAGCTCGGTAATGGACGACAGCGTCAGTAGCAAGTTTTCGGCATTGCCAAGCGGCACCTCTGGGTTGGCCATTTGAGCCTCGACCATTTTGTTCATCTCCTCAGCCGACGGTATCGTCGCCGTAAGGATTCTCTCGATGCCTTCCCGGTTCATGACTGTGGAGTCCATCTTTAGGATCGCCGCCCGAATCGTCCGAGGATTCGGTAACTTTGTCATGCCGATGTTGATTGCATTCGATCGTTTCGCATCTAATACTGTAATCTCATTCCTTTTACCTTCTTGTTTCCACAAAATATCGTAGCAGTAGTAGTAGGAACAGATACAAAGCAGTTCACAGTGAGATGCGCTTAACACCCGTTATTTACTCTGACGCGTCTCAAATATACGTATTAGCTGTATTTGAAACAGGAGTGTAGTAAGCTGATGTGCTACAATAAAAACGATGTGTTTTTCCTAGCAAAGCGAGGGTTCAGACGCGTCAATTGTTTTACGCAAGTGAAGTAACGCCATCATAGAAATCTCTAAGAAAATGGCCCCAAAACAATAGGAAATACCTCCAACTCCGCTTGCAAATCTATATATTTTGAAATGGGAAAGTTTGCAAATAGACATTCGACCCTGCTAAACCTGTGGCTTGAAAACGCAACTCATCGACAGGTTAACAAACTAAATGGAAGCGCATTTTCTCAAGGATTATCTGTCAAATCCGTCATGGTTGTGGAGCAAGTGAGTCATATTATATGAGTCAAGTCTTCATGCTACAGTAGACACCGGCATTTGACGCTACTCCAGATATAACGGCACCATAATTTAGAGAAGAAATTCAGGTGCCTGTTGTAGAGTAGACGCTAACTAGATTATGTAACTAGACGTTATGAAGGGCCTACTTTTTTGACCAAGTGGATTGTGTCGGCAAAGAGGCACGTAACGTTTTATTTCCCACTTATGACTGTTGTGTGGCTCATTCCTGCAAATAACTCGCTCGATCAATTTAAAAACTAAGTTACTCCCCATATCGAATCTTGTAATCTTTTCCTCTTCGTAGCACAAGTTTAAAAAAATTGAGTCAATATATCGGTGAGGCGCTCCGAACTCCGGTGGTAATCCATCAGGTAGATCAATGGTTCACACTCTGCGGCTTTGATTACAATATTTAATTTTAAGCTTATGCCTTACCTGTTTCATAAGGTCTTTGGCTTTGTTTTCGAATAGCTCCTCTAGCTTGGCCGTGTCGATCTCTTCCGAACAGAGTTCATCCCATATCGTATGTTGCTTCTTAATACGAGCTAGAAGCATTCGATCTTCTTTAATTTCCTTCCAGATGAGCTTAACTGTTTTTTTACTCTTCTGGATTGTTGGCTGTGCGCCGGGTTCATTCCTGCAGGACAGCCAAGGACTACTTTATTACGGCTTTATAATATCACTAAAATATAACCACTTAGGAGAATGGTAAATTCAGCCGCCCATTTTAACTAAAATAAAAAGTCGAACGTTGACAATCTTGCGGTGGTGAAACAATTTCGTGTAGTCAAAATTCAACTAAGCACTCAAACGCCATGTTTTCAAAGAACAATTGCCCTTTCTTACTAAATGGACTCATGAACGAAACCCTTATTAGAATTAGAATGATAACGAAAAATAGAACGAAAGGTAAAAATACATCGCATAAATAAGAGTCACGAGGTATTCGTTACCGTAGTTATATAGAAAATTAGCCTAAGTGTGCTACATTTGCCTATAATACGTACTATACGTTGCTGTAATGAACTCCTGATTTTATTAAGCCACTTTCTATGACCATTTTATCATTCTGTCACTGAATCTCTGTATGACCTTTTTCTTGCTGTATCGTAGTCGCTAACAGCCTTAGCCCAATAATGTACATCAACAGTTTCCATAACTTGGTCTAGCTCTTTAGTTCTTGATAAAATCTTTGACATCGTGTTTTTTGCACATTGGCGGTACACTTATGGCATACCCTAAACTTTTCCTTTTTTTACATAATACTTTCATAAGAAGTACCCTACAACTAAGATTTACTTGTTAGCAGCCCATGGAAGTTGGCTTGAGGAGTGTTGCTTTTGTTGAACGAAAGATGGGGTAGTTTTACGGGGCCCCGTGGCTCCGAATGGAGGTACTTCGAATAGAGCTTGTGAAGGTGCCCGTGCACCAGACGGTGGAGAAGAAGGCGGAGGAGCTCCGGGTGGTCGTGGCGGGCGAGGAGGTCCGCCAAAACCAACGCCAAACGGTGGTGGCGGTGGCCCGTCCAAACCTTCCATCGGCGGTGGAGGAGGTGGAATAGGTCCACTTACTGCGAAAGGAACCCCGTCCTCGTTAAGTACTGTCACGTCATCGCCTTCGCTGAGGTCTGTGAAGTCGAAGTCATTGATAAATAGAGGCCTCCTAACAGACTTGATGAAGTTTTGCCATTGCACCGGGCTTCCAGACTTCCAGATCATATCCTGCCTTTGTCTTTTTCAAAGCAGTTAAACTTCTGTAGGTTATTAGAGAACTGGTTACTAGTGTACGGTGGAGTTTTTCCTAGCTTAATGATAGGAGGCCGTTGTCCGAAGCTTAACTGAAAAGCTGCGTATGGAGGGAATAATGGTCGCATCAAGCGACGTTGGCGGTCGCATCGGCAGGTAGCTGGATGGTTTCTCTGCAAGCGCTTGCTAAACTCCGATACACGGATACATCTAGTAATTAAATATTCGTAATTTTTTTTTTCGAAATATCTTTTAGGAAATTGTCTTTTCTGACGACTTTTATTTCACTTAGTCTATTGCCTTTTTTCCTAAAATATATATATATATAAAACCTGCAAATGACAAAGAAGTTATACTACTGTGCACTAAAGGTAAACGTCGAATCTCCGCTACCTGTTTCTGTTGGTATATAGCTGAACCAAGATTTCTGGCTTGATGTTCGGGTACTTTGGGGATATAGTCTGAAAGATCGATTAATTGTCTCCTTTTGTCTACGCGGCGCATCACCGGCTTTGCTCCTGAATCGTTTGTGCTAAAATTTCTTAAATTGGCGACCGTTCGCTGAGGGTTGCGTTTCCTCTCCGAAAATGTCCATTGGTCCATCGTTCTCATTTCGGAGATAGTCTCATATCTTATGACCGTTTTTCCAAAGTCTCATTGCCGGTGTCAGATCATTATCAGCGAATGCCGTATCCTCTACAGACCGTATGAGATTTTGAAAGAGGGGGAAGACTTAACTTTTGTAGGAGGGCCATCAGTCAGGTTGTGTGGGCTGCTCTTTCAAGAAGGGTTATGCTTACGGTTTGTGCAAAGCGCGTGTGAATTAATTCTATTATCAGTAAAAAGTGGTATAATAATTCAGTATATTAAGAACCTCGACCTTTAAATACATTAATTCCATGGTTCTCCATTTTGCTGATAGTTTGATCCTAATTGATAAGTGCAATCGATTTTGAGTTTCGTATGAAACAAAGATAAAAAAAATAGTTTTACGCTTTTTGTGTAAATGTGTTTATTTGTTATATTGGAACTGTGTATTTAGAATTTAGTTGATCAACTATAACATATGTGTATAGTATAAAAGATGTTAATCTTTAGACTAAATACTTCAAAATTTGTTGAAGTGTGGCACAAAGCATATCACGGGGTTCGTTCTAGAGAGGCCAATGGTGCATGGCGAGAGCTCCAAAATAATCATACTCAAATGCATTTTATTACCAGGAACTGCTATACAATTTTTCTCACTTTAAACAATTTGTTACTTCTTTTTAGGTCGAGTCTGGTAGCCGCAACGTTTGGGCTATTTATAGAATTTTTACGTCACGCAGCTACTGCCACCCGTAGGGCAGTAAGAAACAAAGACATCACCTGCGCATAACACACAATGTATCGAATAACTATTTGTTTTTCCTCTATAAATACATATTTGTTATTCTATTTTATATATAAAACGTGGACCTCAGATTCCGGTAGGTGACACTTCGTAGGCACTGACCTGGCGCATACCGATCTTCTTGTCTACTTGTCTTCTACTCTCAGGGAGTTCTCGTAGAGCTGCATCTGCTATAAGAGCTAGTCATCGGTCTCTGCACAAGTACAATTGTACAATGCGCGCCATTTCTATCGCGTCAATTGAACCCACTATATCCCGGTAGGTTTCTTGGTCAGGAACACCATCTAAGGCTTAGAGTAGCACGCAGGAAAAAGTGTTTGCGTCGGCCGGGAATCGAACCCGGGCCACCCGCGTGGCAGGCGAGTATTCTACCACTGAACCACCGACGCCTCGATGAAGTACATGTGGAAATATGCTCTTAAATAATCTTTTATATGTACCTGATGTGTGAGCTCAGTGGAAGAAGTAGCATATTTTAAATTAGGCTTTATTTGTAACACCTGCTCGCCTGTTAAATTGCTTAAAGAATTCTACATGAAACTGCATCTAAAATTTGAGCCTATGGTAGTATTGGTATTTGGTGCTACTAAACAGTCGTAATATGAAATCATTTCGTACGAGGTCCTCATCAAAACGACGCTATTAGAATGAAGGCGCCGTGGCTTAGTTGGTTAAAGCGCCTGTCTAGTAAACAGGAGATCGTGAGTTCGAATCTCGCCGGAGCCTTAAACTTTTTAGTCTATGTTTTTACTTTTAAACCATCAGGCACTAAGCGTAATGGTAAGTGCATGTCACTTTCAGCGGATGTGAGGAGTGTTGCAAGATAAGCCTACAATACCACATATATTTTCCAGCGAAAGATGGATTCATTTCTACCAAAGTACTTATTATAAATTTATTACAATGCGTCCTTGCTTACAATAGAGCTCAGGCAATGATGCACGTGGCTCTAACCTTCTTGAACTAGAACTTTTAATTCATGTAGCGTCTACCTCTAAGCTCATAATGGACATTTTTTCAAACAGCGTTTTCGGATGGACCCGCAGTATGGAACTCAAAACTGCCTGTACCTATTTAAATTTTATGCGACATCTTGAATGGCAACAATTAGTCTACGTATTTAGCTGCACCATTTTCATTTCACCATGCTAGCTTAGGCTTCTTTGACCTAACTTCCTGTTTGCTTTGTCCTTTGCTCGAGCCAGCGACAATTCTCGGAAAAATATCTAGTCGATTTTGAAATAATGACCACGACGTTTAGTTAACCCATTTTTGAATTACTTCTTTCTTTTATTATAACCCATTAATTTATAAATTCTGCATGTGTAGTTGGCTTATTGTCGCAAGTGAAAACGATAATATTAATAAAAATCTATGACAGTAATAGCCATACGCAACAGTTCGTACGCAATTCCAATTTGTTGTCAGACACCAGTTGGATCTAGACAATGTACAAAGAGTAAGATTAATTAAACAACCACAACCACCTCATCGAAACGAAAGGTCCGAGATTTCGAATCATCGGACACCAGATCTCTTGAGTCAACAGAATCGGATTCTACTGAATCTGGCATAGAAAGTCGGCATATATAACATTAAACGTCGTCTTCATATATGTTGCAACTATAAGGATTCATTGTACACTATCAACGACACTATCTTGACAACAAATCTACTCATTGGGTCGGGGACTCATCGGCAGGATAATCTGCAGTAACGATCGCCTAACTGCTATGGCCGTTAGCTATAACAACATCACCGTTTCTTTAATAAATAATCTCCTATGCTTCATATAAATTTAGCTACTCTAGTCTAAGAAGACATGTAGGGGCAATTCCTTCGCTCTTCACGACAGAGATCACCTCCCTGAAGGGCTCGTCGAACTGAAAACCAATCAAAATTAACCAGGCAGACAAACAGACGGTAACAGGTTAAATGCGCCACGTGATACCTATTTGGAATCCAATTTTAAAACGATGAAATATCGTGTTCGCCATATGCTTTGAATAGGGATTCTATTGGGGCGGTGCTACGGCGTAAAATAGCTCGCAGCGTTGGTGGAATAAAACTTACGTGATCGTCTCTCGCCAGCTCCTACCCTTCTCTGTTTTTCGAGACTGCGCTGCGACGGGGCCTGTGACGCAGTTCGTATTAAAGTCTCGATAAGCTCGTCACCATCCGCGCCCGACATGTACTCCCCTATGATGAGAATGTTGTGATAATCATGTGAAAAGATCCGTCCTAATAGTATATAAAATCATGTACCATTCGTGTAGAGAAATCATTAACCACCAAACTTTGCATATGTTGATTTGCAAGACCCTACGTTTATCGACTAGATATCACGAGCGAGATTAAGTTATAGAAAAAGTATGGATTTTCAAATTATCCAAAGAATTTAGTTCTTTAGTGAGTGAAGTGAAAGTTAGGATATATGCTGACCAGGAATATAAGAAGGTATGTTTGCTTTTTTCGCGCAGGTATGTTAATTTATACGGTCGTCTAAACCCGAAATACTTTCATACTAACCTTCCTTGATGGAATTGTGCCTAGACATTTGATTGACAGATCCAGCTCGACTTCGTCTGCCAAGAGATCCCCAATTGCGGTAGTCACCATCAGAGGCATCTGACGAGTAACCATTAGACAAAAGTCGGGTGAGTTCGCGCTCTGATTTCACCGAGCCGCCTCTTACCCCTCGCGGTAGCGTGCTTGCACGTTCAGGAGTTGCTCCGCGCTGAAAAACACGCACAACAGAAATTCGCATGATAACATTGCAACCCTTTTTTCCGTCAGAATAATAGACCATAGTTTCTCGTCAGGACATGACAATTTTAGAGTATTAAACCTCTTCGATAATTTTATCATTTAGATACTCTTCTTTAAACATGCTGCATCCTTCTTGAATTTTTTAGATATACATTAGCTAATAGTCTGTTTCACTTCTTCATTTAACCCAGAGAATATAAAAACAATAAAATTCTCCACTTCCATACCGAATCAACACTTCGTCTGCTGATTCTGTTTGCCCGTTCAGCCTCTCTGCGTTTTTTCTCATTCTGTTCACGAATCTTTTCGCGAGTTGTACGATACTCAAGTGCGAATTCTGAGACGATCTTGCAGATGGCGTGCGGTTTAGCATCCTTAATCGTATAGAGCGGATGACCAAAAAATACCATCAGTTTGTGAAACCTGGAAAGCAACAAAAAATATAATGACATTAAAGTAAAAAGTGACTGAAGCCACTTGTCAATCAACCATAGATGGCGTACTATGCTAATTATTGCTATATGTGCTGCTTCCATATTGTAAAATTAGATTCTGCGATGCCAAGGATTTTTAAGAGGCCGCAAATTATACAACTTCTACGAACAATTTCAAGACAAGATCATTAATGAAACAAATGTGCACCGTATAGAGAATTGATGATGGGGGCCTTTTGCTTGGTTAATTTTTGAAAGAAGTACTGCTTGCCTAAAGTAAATTACATACTGTGTTTAAGTAAGCCAGTACTCAAAGTTAAAACTATGAAAAATATTCGCTGGTGATAGGCGTATTAAATAGTTTGGACCAATGTCGTTTCTTACTCGGCTCGTCTAATTATGTGTATTTTAAAAGTATCCATCTTATTTAATACCTGTTAATAACCCTTTTATAGATGACGCCAAGGACTGTGATACGCTCAGCGCTGTCGGAGAGAAACGAGGCAATCATATCAAGACTCTGTTGACCATCATGCTTCGCTACAGCTTTCAAATGTTCCCACGAGGCCTTGCAATCTGTTTCTAACTTATTCAGCGTTTTCGCCGTTTCCTCGAAGTCCACCTGTAGAAAATTGCAAGCAATAGAAGCTACAAAACACTATTTGACCATTTTACTTCGTCGAGTAATTAACAACTTAAAAATTACTTAGTATATATATAATATATCTCAACCAGCCTTTTTTTATATGGGTTGCCCTTAGGATTGCGTGAGCGTAGACTTTTCCTTGAGAAAAATGTGCACTTAGAATATGCGGTTAGCCATATCGATTCCTTAAGGAGTACACTTTTTTTAACAGGTATCCCGACGATGTAATATCTAATGGGTTTATATTGAACTCGAATTAAGACCAAGACAAGCGAAATGGATTTCCAAATGACCGGGATTTTAAAAAATTGTTATTATTATCCTAACTTGAAAAATAATTAATGTAGTTTAATGTGACAATCTCTAAACATTCTAAGGATAAACCGGATAACATTTTAATTTATTGGAAAGAAAATAAGGCAGTTTCGGCCATGATAAAATCTTCAATTATGTATACTTTGTAGCCCAACTCGTGGCACACGCACTACTCTACCTTACTCTGAGTAATTAGGTAGAAATAAATAAATCTTTGAATTGTCAAATGTATGCTACAATGCTTGTGCAATTGCTGAATGGCCGAAATATTCCTTTCATAATACAAAAATCTTGTATGAAGAAAAACTTACACAGATGTATTAGCTTCACTTTCAATTTTGTACATATCTGTTTGTGTATTGCTTTGTACAATATCTCCATAAAAAAATCATATTAAAATTTAGACACAGTTGAAAAACAGGTGGAATCATGCATGACAATATTTTGATTAATTTGTTTGTAAGTTTGACTTACTTTTGAGGTGCGCGTTACTGCTGCCATCTCGGAGTAGAGATCACTTGAGTTAGGATGTCGTGCTGACACGAATTCCACTACGTGAAATAGAAGACTATGCTTGTATATCGTGTCCTTAACTTCTGGAATCTATAAAAACCCATATTTAAGGCGACTTATATATATATATATATATATATATATTTTTTTTTTTTATAGTTCCTTGCCATATTTATTCCTGCAACGATCAGTGTAATCATAATAACTGATTACGGTGAGTACACAAACCTTGGCAAGGTAGTCCAGCTGAAAGCCTTTCACTGGCGACCCATTGAGGAAGTTTCCAATTGCAAGAACCGTCGAGAGAATAATTCTAAATGTTTTGTTACTTTCGATTTCGGCTATCGCTTGTTTTAAATCCATAAGTGGTTCCGCTACCTCTTTTTCTAATATGTTGTAGTCCAGCACGAAAGCCCATAATCTGAAAAACACACAATGTAATATGGTGAACATTTGTTTATTACCCTATCTGCAAGTTAACATTAATTTACATTAAGTGATTACCGCTTCGCGGTTACGTCAGCTGAATGCAGACAACTACGACTAGACTCACAGATTACAATTAGGTTATGCTATTTATACAGAAGAGCGTGTGATTCCCTGCTCGTATCTTCACGAAATCATTCTAACTGCTTTACGTGAACTATTGCCAGGTATCACGTAGACGCTGGTTTAATATACCTCAGAAATAGCTGGCTTGACAAAACAGATCTAACCTAAACTCTGCTCAGAGAACCGATTCATTTTGTTGTCTATATATAGAAGGGTTGAGTTTCAGCGAAATGTGCCCACGTTTAGCTAATTGTTAAACGGTGTTCACTGAGAGCCTTGGCTGTGTAATAGTGTATAACAAGAATACTACAGATGTACCTGAGGCGTGGCTCGAGCTCGGTAATGGACGACAGCGTCAGTAGGAAGTTTTCGGCATTGCCAAGCGGCACCTCTGGGTTGGCCATTTGAGCCTCGACGATTTTGTTCATCTCCTCAGCCGACGGTATCATCGTCGTAAGGATTTTCTCGATGCCTTCCCGGTTCATGACTGTGGAGTCCATTTTTAGGATCGCCGCCCGGATCGTCCGAGGATTTGGTAACTTTGTCATGCCGATGTTGATGGCATTCGATCGTTTCGCATCTAATACTGTAATCTCATTCCTTTTACCTTCTTGTTTCTGCAAAATATCGTAGCAGTAGTAGTAAGAACAGATACAAAGCAGTTCACAGTGAGATGCGCTTAACACCCGTTATTTACTCTGACGCGTCTCAAATATACGTATTAGCTGTATTTGAAACAGGAGTGTAGTAAGCTGACGTGCTACAATAAAAACGATGTGTTTTTCCTGGCAAAGCGAGGCTCCAGGCGCGTCAATTGTTTTACGCAAGTGAAGTAACGCCGTAATTAGAAATCTCTAAGGAAATAGGCCCCAAAACAACAGAAAATACCTCCAACTCCGCTTGCAAATCTATGTATTTTGAAATGGGAAAGTTTGCAAATAGACATTCAACCCTGCCAAACCTGTGGCTTGAAAACGCAACTCATCGACAAGTTAACAAATTATATACGAAGCGCATTTTCACAAGGATTATCTGTGAAGTCCGTCATGGTTATGGAGTAAGTGAGTCAAGTCTTCATGCTACAGTAGACAGCGGCATCCAGATATAACGGTACTCCAGATATAACGGCGGATTGTAGTCCAATAGGCGCTAATTAGATTTGTAGTCTTATGAAGGGCCTACTTTTTTGTATTGTGTCGGCAAAGAGGCACGTAACGTTTTATTTCCCACTTATGGCTGTTGTGTGGCTCATTCTTGCAAATAACTCGCTCGATCAATTTAAAAACTAAGTGACTCCCCATATCGAATCTTGTAATCTTTTCTTCTTCGTAGCACAAGTTTAAAAAAAAATGAGTCAATTTATCAGTGAGGCGCTCCGAACTCCGGTGGTAATTCATCAGGTAGATCAATGGTTCACACTCTGCGGCTTTGATTACAATATTTAATTTTAAGCTTATGCCTTACCTGTTTCATAAGGTCTTTGGCTTTGTTTTCGAATAGCTCCTCTAGCTTGGCCGTGTCGATCTCTTCCGAACAGAGTTCATCCCATATCGTATGTTGCTTCTTAATACGAGCTAGAAGCATTCGATCTTCTTTAATTTCCTTCCAGAAGAGCTTAACTGTTTTTTTACTCTTCTGGATTGTTGGCTGTGCGCCGGGTTCATTCCTGCAGGACAGCCAAGGACTACTTTATTACGGCTTTATAATATCACTAAAATATAATCAATTCTAATTAAACTGGGGAAAATGGTGGATTCCCGTTCCGACTAACCTTTACTAAAACAAAAAGCCGAAACGGCGGTGATGAACCAATCTTGCATAGTCAAAACGCAAAGAAGCATTTAAACGCCGTGTTTTCAAAGAACAATTGCCTTCTCTTATTAGGGAAGCTCATAAGCGAAACGCTCGTGAGTATTAGAATGTGGCAAACGTCACATTCTATAAGTAGAGAATTAGTCTAAGCGTACTGCATTTGCGTAAAATACATACAGTTATGTTAATGTAATGAACTACTAAGTTTATTAAGCTACTTTCTATGACCATTTTGTAATTCTGTCATTGAATCTTTGTACGATCTTTTGCTCGCTGTATCGTAGTTACTAACAGCCTTAGTCCAGTATTGTACATCAGTCGTTTCCACAACTATATCTAGCTCGTTATGTCGCATAGCGTGTTTCTTGACAAAATCTCCGACACCGTATTTTTGGCACATCGACGGTACAGCTGTAGCAAACCCTAAACTTTTTCTTTTTTTATATAATGTACTTGTTTTATATAATATAATTTTTATATAATACTTTTATTGAGAACACCTTACAACTAAGGTGGAAAAGTGAAAACTAGCAATTTACTTACTTGCTAGAAGCCCATGGAAGTTGGCTTGAGGAGTGTTGCTTTTGTTGAAGAAAAGGCGGGGTAGTTTTACGGGGCCCCGTGGCTCCGAATGGAGGCGCTTCGAATAGAGCCTGTGAAGGTGCTCGTGCGCCAAACGGTGGAGGAAAAGTCGGAGGAGCTCCGGGTGGTGGTGGCGGGGGAGGAGGTCCGCCAAAACCAACGCCAAATGGTGGTGGCGGTGGCCCGTCCAAACCTTCCATCGGCGGTGGAGGAGGTGGAGTGGATCCACTTACAGCGAAGGGAACCCCGTCCTCGTTAAGCACTGTTACGTCATCGTCTTCGCTGAGGTCTGTGAAGTCGAAGTCATTAATAAATAGAGGCCTCCTGACGGACTTGATGAAGTCTTGCCATTGCACCGGGCTTCCGGATTTCCAGAGCATATCCTGCAGAATGCTGTCTTTTTCAAAGCAGTTAAACTTCTGTAGGTTATTAGAGAACTGGTTACGATTGGGTGGTGGAACTTTTCCTAGGCTAATAGGAGGAGGCCGTTGTCTGAAGCTTGGCTGAGAAGCTGCGTACGGAGGCTGACGGGAAGGGATAACGGGCGCATCAAGCGATGTTGGTGGTCGCATCGGCGGGTAGCTGGATAGCTTCTCTGCAAGCGCTTGCTAAACTCCGATACACGGATATATGTAATAATTAAATATTTGTAATTTCTTTCGAAATATTCTTTAGGATATAAATTGTGTTTTCTGAGGACTTTTATCTCATTTGTCTATTGCCTTTTTCCCTAAAATATAGAAATAAAGCTTGCACAGCTTTAAATGACAAAGAAGTTATACTACTGTATACTAAAAGTAAACACCAAGCCTCCGCTACCTGTTGCTGTTGATATCCAGCTGAAGCAAGGTTTCTGGCTTGATGTTCGGGTATTTTGGGGATGTTCTCTTGCGCGTGATGAAGTGCTGAAAGATCAATTAATTGTCGCCGAGGAACCTCTTGTCTAAGGGGCGCATCGCCGGCTTCCTGCTCCTGAATCGTTTGTTCAAAAATATTCTTAAACTGGCGAACGTTCGCTGACGGTTGCGCTCCCTGTTCGCATATGTCCATTGGTTCATCGTTTTCATCCCGGAGATAGTCTCGCATCTTATGATCATCCTTCCAACGTCTCATTGCTGGTGTCAGATCATTATCAGTGAACGCCGTATCTTCTACCGACCGTATGAGATTTTGAAGGAGGGGGGAAGGCTTAACTTTTGTAGGAGGGCCATCGTTCGGATTGTGTCGACGGCTCTTTCGAGAGGGGTTCTGCTTACGGTTTCTGCAACGTGCGTGTGAATTAATTCTATAGTCAGTAAAAAGAAGTACAATGATGATTCAGTATATTTAGAAACTCGACGTTTAAATATATTAATTCTATGATTCCCCATTTTGCTGATACTAATCGATAGCCGCAATCGATTTTGAGTTTTGTGTGAAACAAAGATTATAAACATAGATTTATGCTTTTTGTGTAAATGTATTTATTTGTTATACAGGAAACGTGTACTTAGCGTAACTAGCATATATTTGTATAGTATAAAATGTATCATTTTAATCCCTAAATTAAATACCTCAAAATTTATTGAAACACAGCACGAGGCCTGCTCCAGGGAGGCCAACAATGTATGACGACGTCTCCAAAACGATCAGGCTCAAACGCGTTTTACTGCCAAGAGCTTCTACATAACTTTTCTTATTTTAAGCAACTTGTCCCATCTTTTTAGCTCGAGTTAGATATGCAGAAGTATAACGTTTGGGTTATTTATAGAATTTTTATGTCACGCAGCTACTGGTACCCTTAGGATGAGCACATCAATACACTTATGTATAATACGCGTGATATCTTAGATAGGTATTTGTTTTCACTTACAAGTACATACTTGTTATTTTGTTTAATAGATAACATCATAACTCTAATCCCAATAGAGATGAAACACTTCGTAGGCACTAACCTGACGCAGGCCGGAACCTTTGTGTTAGGTGTCGTGATTCCATCTTCTAGTCTCAGAATGTTTTCGTAAAGTTGCAGCTGCTGTAAAAGCTCGTTGTCAACACCCTGTTTTGACAAGTAGAATTGCACAACGCGCTCCATTCCCATTTCTTCGAGAGAATCTACTATATCGTAATAGGTGTCCTGGTCAGGAACGCCGTCCAAGGTCTAGAACAGCACACAACAACCGCGTTATATATTCTCCAATATTTGCACGAAAATTTACATTGGTAATATACCTGCTGTACTCGTCGCAGAAATATCCAAAAGTCGAACTTTGATAACTATTGGCATTAACAAATTGACAATGCAGGAACAAATACGAGCTTTTTGCATATAGCGTGGTCTATCAGGCCGTATACTAAATGATTTGGAAGAGTTACAGTGCTGCCAATGAGTGCATCATTTTAATAGAAGACTCCTCGGCCGATATCAAATCCTAAATATTAGAAGATTAGTACCCTTGCAAACCTCAGACCTGTACAAATGGATCCGTCGCTTCCATCAAATCGATGCCCTTCGGCTCCAGAGTGAAAGCTAACGAAGGTCTCGAACCATCCGTTAAGCACAACTGCAATCTTCTACGGCAGTCTATAGGATACTCAATTAGTTGGAGTTCATCTTTCTTTTTAAACTAAAACACTATCCTATTTTGTTCCGGCCATAATCGAACAGAAAATTATCCTGTTCGAAAACAAATCCAACAGGCGATGTAGCACTCTCGAGTTTCACTGGGGCACTGGTAAGCGTATAGACTCGCTCCAAGTTAAGACTGTGGGCAAAAAGCTGCGGCCATAACATTTTGTGGTGGTCGCCCTTCGTCTTGAGAAGCAGTCGACTCTTTTGCTAGATATCGACTCGTTCTGTGAGCATCACAGATAAGCAACTATTAGGTAACGTAATACACGGTCTGCTACCATCTGCAGTAATTTATTTCCTTTCCTATTTAGTAAAAATCATGGTTACTGTCAGTTACTATGACATGACGAGCAAATAAATAACAGAGCAGTTGGTACTGGGGGCTGTTAGAAAACAGCAGGTTCGCGCCAATGCTCAAGGCACTTATACAAATTGCGCACAACAAAAGGATTATTAACAAATGAACGGGGTATACGTGCCCTGCGGAACGTTACTACATTTTCAGGACCTTCATCCACGGGTCAGAGCGGCCGGAACCGCTACATTTCTTTAGGCTAAACTATTTCACAACACGTATAATTATATAATAGAAAAGATGATTTTACAAAATATTGCGTTGTATTTACCGAAATGTACCAATAGTGAGTTTACTTTCAAGTGGAAGTTCGGCAACTTTGAACTGTCACACGGCAGGGGCTTACGGTTTACCTTATTAATGAGAGACATTGCGAAGATAAGCAGCTCCATATCGGCGTTATCCCTTTGCGAAAGGATCTTCATCACACTTGCCCAGGGTTTTAGGCCATGCGTCTGCTGCACGCGGTACATCGCACGCAACAGCTGTAAACAGTTGGTATCTGTATATTCGAAGAAAACAAGAAGGAGTTTGAGGGCAGCTTTCACAACCAATCGATACTGCAATTGAAAGACGCACAATGATTTTTTTTAACTTTAAACTTAGAATTATATCGGAACACAGGGTCAGTTTTACAATAATTCTAACTTCACAGTTTGTAGGTTCATCAATGCCAAATAGTATCAACGGTGCCCTTATTAAAGGTATCTACTGATCTTATTTTTCTAACATCGTTTCTTAGATGTATACTTGCAGCACAAAGACAATTTATATTGTCGATTATATCTATGCTACGTTAACGCTTCTTGCAAATCTCTACTCACGCTGAGACTTCTTTATATAAGTAAACCGAGATAAAAAAAAAAAAAAAATTATCTCTTCAGATATGATCAGAACGCATTCTCGGAATATTGTAATGTATATGAGGTGCTAAAAGAAGTCATCTTGGTTGCTTTGGCCAAGAAATCCTGTACTTACATTCGACTGGGTCAGAAGATAAAGCCATTGAATTGTCTGGTTATGCCTAATTACTCCGTGCATACCATCCACGTAAAGCATTATTTGCCCCAGAGCTACCACAAGGAGAAAAGAAAGGACAAATAGACCCATTTACCATTGTAAGGCAAAGAAGTAGATGCATTAATTCAGTTACATTGAGACTGAGAATTTCATTTATTTTGAACACACGGCATGTATGATATATCGAACAATATCGTGATTTAGAGTGTTGAGCTCTTGATGGACTCTTTGCAGACAAGATAACTTAGGTAGAAATTCTTCAAGCGAACGACGCTTAGTTATTATACTGCTGATTTAGTTATTTCTGATGAGTAACTTTCAGTTTTGGTATTAACTTCACATACCTCTAAGGATATAGTTCTGATAATTGTGGTCAGAATTCTGGCCAATCTTAACGAGAACGTCCAGTCCTCGGTTTTCAACAAACGCGTGCACCAGGTCCTTATCATCCTGGAACACTTGCTTCAGGGCAAACAGCGCGCGCCGTAGGTCACGACCATTTGAATTCATCAGTTTCTCTGTACCGGAATCGCAATGCTTAGCTTTGCTTAAAGGACAAATGAAACTAAAAGTATCTAAAGAAAAACTATTATTCAATTCTATTATATATTATAGTCATCGTAGGATGTACTCAGCTTTAATTTTATTCTTTAAGATCAATTGATTAATCTGACCCATTTAAAGGATACTACCTAATGGATGAAGCTCGTCTGAGTTCATGTCGAATGTGATTTTTTCCGACAACGAGCGATCATTTTGATGCCGCTTTCCATGCCGTTTTTGCAACCTTATATACTTTACGTTACAACTTTATGTACACTAAACATTAATAGGCGTCCAACTAAACATATGTAAGTAACATACTCAAGTTTCACTCTTAAATATTCAACCTATTATGTGTCGATACGGATACACAAACTTGAACTCCCGTACTTTGAATAACAGGCGCAATTTTTTTCGTTCCGTTAACCACATTACTGGTGTTGAACGCAAGTGAACTGGCATAGGAAGAAATCTGATGAAAGGGTCCGTCTAGATCAGGTCTATGGTTGTCTAAAAATCTGTTACAAACTCTGAGGTGTATTTCACTCATAATACTCTCTCTGTATTCTGTGTCGAAATTGTTCCTTTGAGACACTTATTACAGCAGTTTAAGCTCGAAGACATGCGTTTGTGCGAAATGTCGCACGCGTACACCAATTGCACGATTGCTTCGGTCAACAGGACGAAAACAGTCGTCGGAGTGAGTGGGTAGAATTGATTGACGGGTCAAGGCCTGTACGACGTAAGTGACAACGATCAGTACGGGAACGATATCGTAGATTTGATGATTGTTGAAGTGTTCAATGGTCCCTAGCCGTATGTCGTAAGAACAGGGATGACTGTGCTAGAAAACATGTGCTGTTTCTCTACGTTAAACTTTGCGAAGCTAACGCAGTCAGCTTTAATGAATCACCTCTGCTTATGAAAAGACCGTCGCATGAAATATAAATGATAAGCAAAAAAAAGAAAGAAGTTGCTAGTAGAAGTTAGTAGTAAGAAATTATTCGTTAGCACGGACCAGATCCGTGGGTTTCAACAAAAGCGGGATCTTCCTAGTTCTATAGAAGTTTGCTATGGTCATGTTCGATCGACGCGTTTTTAGGCCAACCCGTTTGAATGTTTTAAATAGAAATAGCATTTTCTTTTAAAGTGTATTAGAGTTTGGGGGGTTTCTATAGTTAGCCTCAATTCATTAAGCGATGCCCATATATACATATATAGGCATCGCTTAGACTAGCCGCCTTTACTTGGGCAAAGACTGCTAGGCGTGGTATTTTCAGCCCCGCGTACACCTTTTTTCCCGATGAATCATTGTTAATTATTCTAACTAGTAAAACTGCGAGCTCGTCTCGGGCGAAGCGCTAGATTAGATCTCATCAGGATTACGTGGTAGGACACCGTAGTCTTACGTATATCATATTTTATTGATTTAAGTTAATTGATTTAGGTCAGTCAATTAATTCGTCTAGCCTTAAAGAGAACACAGCTATTATTATGCCTGTATATATGCAACCGAGCAGAGACTTTGCTGTTGTTAGTTATATCCGTGGCTTAGTCTCAACTGAGAGATTACATTTGCATATCATTCGTATCATTTTATTTGCCTAGTAAACGCAAAATCAACGGGTTCTAGAAAAACGTTAATTTAATCAGGTAACACATTTTTATTATTGCCATGGGTTTTAGTTCAGAGTGATATGACCCAATTCTTCTCAACCTACTTTCTGTTTTTCTATCTCCGTGAACAGCCGAGCCGACCACTGAATGGTCTCATGTCAACAGCGTCTTTTGTCGCTGAGTGCTAATTTACTTCACACGGGCACGCTTACAAGATGGTAAATTTATCGGTCCTGTTGGCAAATAGAATAGTAAGGCCAAAGGGTCCGTATACCGATATTGTTAAACTACATGAGTGTTCTTGTTTTTTGTTTTATAGAGATTTTTGCCGTCTAAAGACGTATATGCCACCCATACCGGGTATAGGCGATTACATATAAATGTAATTATGAACAATTTCGGCAAAACAACCATTTCTTCTTAATAGCCTTAGTAAGAGACTAGAAAAAACCTCATTACAATGGAATTTAATGAGCGAAATGTGACAATTATTTATGTAAACGTTATGTCTCACATTTTTTTTTTTACTACTCATCTAAATAATACGAACGCACATAGCTGACCAATAAATAAGTTGCAATGGCCTTTTAAGCAGCACGATGTCCTAGACAGCTTCGGAAAAAATAGGACGTTTTAGAACCGTGAAATCGAACTGAATTACAAACGAGAATCTCCAGTGCAAAATGTTTCTTTTCTATGAAGCGAATTGATAGCAGCCAGACTAATTCTGAGGGAAGAAACGCTAACAGAGCAAAAAAAGAGGATGCATTGCGTTCTCTCACAAAGGATTGTGTCTCACTTTCTTGACATAATAAAAAAGAAACAGGTCTTCCTTATGGAATAGATTAAAGAAGCTCTTTCTAATAACCGAGTTAGCTGTTCGACATAATCCAACTAAGAGTAGCTAAAATTGAGGCATTACCGAGTCACTGACACAGTGATACGAGCGACAGGGAGAAGAGACCACACTTTGTCTACTAGCCTTAGGACGGTTCCGTTTTGTCATGGATTAACATTCTTATGCATGATCATGTTCTCAGGAAAATGAGATGTTCGGAGTAGCAACAGATCGGCACATCTTTCTCGTAGGGGCAAACAATATATATTCCATTACGGTATATACCGTGGCAAGACTACAAATCGACACTAATCGAACAGAACACCGCCCGTCTTTTGATAAGACGGTTACGGATAGAAAATAAAGTCAAAAGTTATCTATGCAAATTAAGCTATACTACTGAACAAATGCATCCGTTCCATATATGAATTGTTTGGAGAGTGATGGCAATTTCTCTTTTCATTTTTTTTCTTTCCATTTCTATTTTTCAGTTTCAGGTATTCAAATGTTATGTATGGTTGAAAATCCCTCCAATCGCGTTTTCACTGTTTCATTCAAACCACAAAATTTTCTCTATTTCTTAGGCTTTAAGGCTTCTAATTAAAAAATAGCCTGTTCGGCATTTTATCACGGGCAAGAAGTTGCCAAAAAGATCTACAATAAAGGTAATAAAGACCGGGGCCCCATAACTGCGAACACTACGAAATTTGGGCAAAGTTCTAACTAAGCCAATTTCAAATGGTGTATAACACCCGGCGGTCAAATCGAAAATGAAAAAAGAAAGCCGAGCACTAATGTGCTATTTTCGGCTATATATATATATATATATATATATATATATATATATATATGAATTATACGTTGAGTAATAAATTAAATTAATAAAATTTGACTATATAAAAAATAGGGTCACTTACCTATGATGGCATGAACACGAACGGGCAGCTGGCTTCTAAGAACTATCGACGCATCTTCTCTATGGAATTAAGTGCTCCCGGTTATTATAACGGGTTTTGGTGTTTCCATACACATAGTCGCCTCTCAACACGACGCTGCTTTTAAAACTACCCAAAAGGTCTATTTTCCCAATTTGCATTGCACGCTTCGTCTCGTCTTCCATATAAAAGACATACGAGGCTTGATAAAACATTGTTATGAGAAGTATCTATAAAAATGGCATCTGGACGTTTTGCTATTGTTTAACACAACGTTATACATTTTGCACGCAGATGCTCAAAAGCTCTATGTTACAGAAGCGAAATAGTAGAGGCCGTAAAGGCTTCAGCTCGAAGGTTTATTCGGCCAGATTGTCCCATAACGTAGAACAAATGACTCATAAATATCTGTTGTAGTACTATTTGTCATGATATTCTGGCTGTAGTTCAGGATTTAGCGTAAAGTAGGTGTCTCACAAACCTTTCGAAGGCTGCGAACTCGTCTCTCTGTTGTTCGATTGACGAGTCCAAATCTAAATACGTTCCTGCTTCTTCCGAATGACGGTACAATTGTAGACAACTATCATCCACCTGTAACAGGCGACATCTAGATCGTGATTCCCTTTCACCACATTCTAATCTTTGCCTAATCAATATCGTATACTATGAGAATCTATCTAAGGAAATTAGATGGCTGCAAACTTGTCTAGTTTATATGTATTAAGCTCTAACGCAAGTGCAGTTGCAAAAGTGAGGTATCTTGAACATCTTCTTGCGAAGCTCGTTCGCTATGAACGGGTACGGCTTTCTAGAAATCCAGTGGTCAATATATAATATGTAACCAAATGCATGCATAACACATATCCATTTACGAACTCACTACGGTCTCTACATCGACACTTATTAGCACATCACGCCAAGTATTAGACATGTTTTTTTCACAAAAACATTTTCCACCTTGTGTGGAGCATGAAGAAATCGATGCAGAGCGGTAAGTTGCGTGTTGAGGGGCATGAACACGTTAAAGGTGAAAGCAGACGCTAGAGATAACGGCGGTTGGGGAGCACTCGACGCCGTCCCGAATGGATCGGCATCGTCAATATATTGAACTTTGCACGTAAACATTGTGGATAGGTTCTAGCGAGAACTTTAAACTTGAAGAATCCGTTGGCAAACGGGCGAAACTACAACACCGAGACAGGTAGAGCGACCATTGGCTCGAACAGGAATTTCACTTGGCGCAGGTGTCCGGAACGACAAAGTCTTGTCTAATAGGTCGTTCAGAAATACTGGACAGCCCGTGGGCATCTAGCGACAACAGAAGCACAAAATACGGCACTCGATCGCTGGCTCGTGCAAAGTCACGTGAGCCGACATCACACCGCTGTTCCCCTCAGTCCCACAGGAGAAAAACTATGGAATTGAACAGAGTGAAACTTTACGAAGAACACAGGCAACTGCATGATAATATGGGCGTATGTGTCTATGCACGTGTGGCGGAAATTAAACAAGAGGGTAAGAAGTATTAAGGGAGGAAGAAGGAGAAGTAATAATAGAAGTCAGTGAAAGAAGGCTAACAAGTGGAAGACATGAAAGGAAAAAAGGACTCCCACACGCTAAGCGACGCCTAGTGACCGCACGGTGACGACATCGCCGGTTTATCTGAAAGTATAAATAGCCGACCGCATTGTAAGCCTCGACATAGGGTTAAGCGAGTGGATGGGGTTGAGGGTAAGGTATAGGACCATCGGGCATCCGCAACTAAAGGTGGAGGTCAGTAGTCGAAGCACTGTAGAGGCTGCGGTCCCAGCTGAGTCAGAATGCGAGCGTGGCTCGACAAGAACGATCTGGAGAGGGCGAACAAAAGGAAGAGTGGCTGTGGGTTTGTTTGTATGTTTGACTGGCGCGGTAAACGTGAGTGCAGCGATCGTAGTTGTGGCATAGTAGCAGTAACGACTGCTCAGAGCAGAGTGGTAAGCGCCGAACACCGGGCGGCGGCGATCTGACCACTATACAAAACAGCGGCAACACCTAGCTGGCTGGCGTTCATCGGAGGGACGACGGGCTCGGCCCTCTAAGATGTTGCCAGATTCAACATTGAGTGCCATTCGTTTATTGCGTTGTTTGCACTGGTTGATTGAGACCATACATAACTAAGCCTTGTGATACATTTTGGTCTTCGCGTAATCGCATGTCGGACCACAACCGCCACTACGATTGGCTCGGTGTCACAGGGCGAACGACTTGGGCAGAACCTACCGGCACATCACAGCCGGTGCATGCATTACGTATAAAAGGATAATGAAACACGCAAGGTTTTTGGTTTCGAATATTAAGGGCAACCGTTCTAGTTGACATAGACCAGGAGAATGGTTCAGTTTCTTTAGATGGAAGCTCTTTGTTCTTTTGCTGGCCTGTGCTAAGCATTTGTCTCTGCAAGTCTCAACGGATTCAGAAAGAGATTTATTAGGGTCCCATATAAGAAAATAATCACTCTTTATTCAAGAGATTTCCAGTAGCCACTTGTTATCCCCAGGGTTCTAACTGTTGGCGATATAGTTCTATAAATACTTGGTTATCCTACTCGAGACGACTATCGGCAGCATGCTCAATACGCAGTTTAATTACAGTTAGTGGAGTACAAAACAGAGAAGAAAATTATTTGACAATATAAATGATTCCAATTGTGATTATATTCTATATAATAATGGCTTCACTCGCCTTACTGACGATGCCCTGTCCCTTCGGCACTTCACGAATGCGAATCGCACTACTATCGTATTCCTCGATTTTTGGTAAGAGCTCAGATTTCATTGAGTCTTTAGGTCCATGGACTTTGACCTGTGACGCTTCAATTTTGAAGAACGACATTGCATCTTGTCCCTTTTCAAACGGACACATAGAGGGGCTCTCAGGACCAAGAATGTCATCGATATCTACCAGGTTGCCAATGAAGCTGCTGGGTCTATTTATCTGCGGTCTTGAGGACGACTTCTTGATCTGCGATAGCGATTCGACATTCTGGAGTGTTTCGTTGTCGAACTTAGTTTCCATTGCGTCGAAACTGTCACTGTCGCAGAACTCCAAGAATGAATCGATATCTTTGAAGGTACCAATAAACTGGCTTTTGCCTTTGCGCACTGAAGCATCTTGGCGTCTTGGTGCGCGTGGAGTTTGGTTGCTTTTCTGGTGCTTCTGCTGATTTGTCTGTAGCGACGCATGTGCGACTGAAGTGTCAGCAGAGAGCGCTACGTTGAATCTTTGAACGTCATTCTGCTTAAATGGACCAGATGTTATTGATTGTTCGTTCGGCGAGCCAGTGCGTGCCGTTTGAGGAATTGAAGAAGCCATTCCCTGAACCTCCTGGTGAATTACCCAACAGGGCCGGGATTCTGACGAAGAGCGATCGCTACGGAACGAGCTCGATCTTTGAGACTGTTGAAATGGAGCATTCCCCTCTTTGTCGATCTCTATTTGAGGCGGATTTGACATGACCGCCTTACTAGCCTTTGCTACATCCTCAGATCTTGGACGCTGCTTTTGCGATGGATGCCTATGATGCTCTTCAGCCTTGCGCCGCATTTGCTCTTTCTGCTGTTCCAGATACTGAAGGAGGTCCGCCTCCGTTTTGGAAATAGTTGGCTGTGAGCTCTGGTTGTCTTGTTGAACTATACTGTTGGGGCGACTTTTGTGCTCGCTAAAGGGTGATGTTCCTTTGGGCCTCGATTCATCGTTACCTTCTCTCGAACGGCGCTTAACGAGCTCTTTTCGACGAGCTGGTATTCCAACCACCTCATAGTCACTAGAACTGACATCACCTTCTTGTTGAAGGCGCAAGATTTGAGCTGGCTTTTTTGGTAAAAGCGCGTGATTAAATTGAATGTTCTCGTAAACTTCGGACTCAGTATCAGTAGCACTCTGCCTTTTATATATCGACTTGTAGGGTCGAGGCGTCCGTAGCAAGAATGGGACAGGCTCAGATTCCTGCCAAAGAGTGATTTTCGGTTTTTCAACTTTGTTATTGCAGGGGTCCGAGCGGTCTGAACTAACTATGCCTGTACCTGAACTTGGAGTTCTGTTATAAAGTGGCTTGGACTGGTACTTGAATTTCTGAACCTTCAAATCGTTTTCTTTTAGCTTTGTTGTGTTGATTATCTCGGACGATCTTGCGAGCCCTGGTGGCTCCTGAGCAAAATCTGGATGTAGTTGAGCTTGACTTGAACTTGACCTCTGGATGTCAGTTTGTCTAGCATTATTCGTGACGGTTTCTGCAGAATGTGATTTTTGTATTAGCAATGGGACTGTCAATTCAACCGAACCAACAAATTCCCTGTCCTCAACTCGTGGTGAACTTTCAGACTTTTTAAGTGAATACACAACATCCTGCGGCCTGTTCAGCGAAGGAATTTTAATAAATGCTGGCCGCGAGATTGTATTATGATCTGTAGTTGCCTGAGTATCATTTGAACCTTTGAAAACAACTGTCGCACTCTTTTCGATACCGTAAGAACCTGACTCGGATGTGCTTGAAGCCTTTTCCTGTTCTTCCTGCTGAGTTTTTGGCGTTGAAGGTGTCCTGATAATCGCTTCGTCGACCATTTCAAAATCGCCCTGGAGCTCTTCTTCACATTCGGTGTCATCTTCAGCTCGGGCCAAAGGCGCTTTTTCTTTGAGGGAATCGCCAAGTTCTTGCAGCCTATCAACACTTTGCAGTTCCTGCGGGGATGGTGCTCGGTCTTCTAGTGTGTTGCCTCGTGAAAATCGCTTTCGGCGGAATGCTCTTCTGACTTGGGAGTGATCTTCTTCCTCCTCGTTTGACGAACTTTCTGAATCGCCCTTCAAACAAGAAGATGATGAGGTCCGTTTCACGTCGTGCTTATGGATGCTTCGCTGTGAGTGGCTTTTAAAGACTTCGCGACGAGACGAGCCTTCACATTCGGAATCCTCAGTTGACGATTGAAGAATCTCTGTGTCAGACTCCTTTTCCATCGGTTTTCCAGCGCGACGTAGGGCTTTTCGCTTTGCCTTTTGCATTTTCAAATATTCTTCTCGTTCTTTCTCAGTAAGATTCATATTTAAAACGGACTTTCTAAAGTCTTTATTAGTATTAGCTAGTTGTTGCTTTTCATATTCTATAGTTTCGTTTGTGGCGGTTTCGTAAACGTGCTCTTTGCTTTTCTGGTTTTCCCGTGTATCTTCCCTGCTCTTTCGACCCTCGTTAGAGTCCTCATAACTTTTTCGGTTTTCGCGGATTTCGTCTTTGTTTTTGCGAGACCTTATCTCCCGAGAGGGTCGTTTGCCCTCGGAGTTTGCGTCAGGAGAAGCTGACTTTCTGGAAATCGCGGTCTGAGGTGGCCATTGGGGTTCGGTAATTTTCTTCGGTGACGTAGGTGAGCTTTGAGGTGATTGGCCAGGGATAGGTCGAGAAAGTTTATTATTGGCTGTTATGCTCGCAGCGGAAGGTGTTGTTGCTGTAGAAAACTTTCCGTAGTAGGCGTAAGCCGGAACCGTATCAGTCGGAGACGCTTTCGACTGAGTGGTTTTCTCCGGGAATTGAATCTTTAAATTGGGGGCAAACGCCTTTTTGATATCCTGCGATTCGACCTGCACAGATGCACAAAGTTTGCCCACCGGGAAACGTTTCTTTGCTGGCTTCTGAAGTCTGCCTATTGAAGAAATCATATTCTCATCTTCCGGCCGATTCGTGGTTGACGGCGAAGTTGACCGGCAAACTAAATACTCGATTTTCTCTTCATCATCACTATCGGACTCCTCGGACTCAGAATTAGAGAAGTCAGCAGGTGCTAGATTAGGCTTTGGTTCAGGTGTTTTGTATGACGATACTCTTGATAAACCGTTGTAAGGTGACCAGTTTGGCGGAACGTAGTAAATTCGACGATACGGTGTTTCAAAAGGTTGGAAGGTTGTACTTGGCCGCCACGATGGAGGTAGAGTGGGTTTTGGGGCTAGACTAAACTGCTGAATAGCCTGCGTCACAGAACTGAGCTCGCTCCCAAGTCGAGATGCCTCGCAAGAACTTTGCCGTGCAAATGGCGAAGGAGAACGGCTTTGGGAGGCACCTATAGACCTGTCTGATTGGTATCCACCAGAACAATTTACTGTATTACCTCGTCGAGGTGGCACATCGCTTGAAGAAAGTGCACTTTTATAGTCTCGATTAAACGGCGAGGGTAAACTAATTTCTGAGCGCTCTGAACCATTCAGAGATTTACCTCGTCGGGGAAACCCATAACCAGTGATCCTTTCGTTCTTCTGATTATATTTTCCCAAAGCAGAGTCTTGTCTCTGAGGGAAAGACTGTGCAGGAGTACCCACCAGGATAGCCCGTTCTCCTACGGAACCCTGTCGCTGTAGAGGCGGACGATTCCCAAAATAAGCGCTCTGGTAATCCTTCGGGTTATCATATCGGGATTGTTCGCCGTTAGAATCTTGTTTTTGGAGGTTTGTCCTGCTTCCGAAATTCGCAGTCTTCTGCTCTCGCGATCCGCCGCTGTCTTGGCGTTGACATTGCCTTTGAGAAAACGACGCTTGCCTCTGGTATCCACCACGATTTGGTGACTTATCTCTTTGCGAAGACACTGGATCTGGTCGTGTAAGATTTGTTTTCGAGCTATATGGAGAGGTGCATTTGTCTCCAATTGGCGGTTTATACGAGTTATACACCGATCGTGAGCATGAAGGCGACCGATCGTAACTGCCGTTCTGGATCCGTCCATAATCATTGTTATGTGATCCTTTAGCATCTGAAGCATATCCGCTTCTGCTAGCGTCGGACGCATATCCACCGTTTGCTTTCGGCATAAATGATTTCTTATTATCAGAAGTATGACCTGATGCGTGAACCGTGTCCGACACATTGCTCGATTTGCTATGGTCTGATGTGTAACCAGGGGTAGCTGGCTTCCTGTAATCGTATCCTGAAGTTGATCCCGTATTTTTTGATGCGTTCACAGCACTCTGATATTTGTTAGCAATTGAAGAAGTGGGTGAAGCCAACGCAGCACTAGGCCGGTAACTACTGGGGCTACCAAAGCTCAAGCTGTTGAACTGTGAGCTAAATGAGGGTGAAGTAGTACGCCGATACGGGGACTGGAACGAAATATAGGAAATGTTATATACTTCATTTAAAATTATTGTACAAAAATGATTGGGCATTGTATGATACTGTTTGTGGCATTTTTCATCGGTTAATACAAATCAAGCTATTCCTACTTATCGTTTCTCCAGTTATTTATCTAAGAAGCGAGAACGATCTGAATTTACATGACGTATAGTTAGCTCCTCGGCCAGCAGTGCAGCATAGAGTCGACGTTAGCCCGCCATTATAGAAACGCATTGTCAATTCGTAAACGATTTTTATGACCGCAATCTGTTCACCTGATCGAAGCTCTATTTATGAAACATTACAAACTATATAGATGTGAGCGGTAACTAGGTTTCGCCCATCGTTTATGTATCTCTTTCAGTTACTAGCGATGGTAAAGTGCGCAATATATCGAGAGAATGTGGCTTCAGCGTTTTTGAAACCGGAAACTGGTCGTTTAACTTTATTACTTCGCAAACTATGAAACTTATGTCTCACCATCCAGACTTAAGACTGCAGGGATTTTGAGATATAAAATTCGTCTAGTAGATCTGTTACTGCTGCTCCTGTATAAAGGCTCGTGTGTTTTATGCAGGACTGCCTGGCAAGGGCGAATAGACTAGAGTCATATATGTGCGAAAGCATCGACAGCCGGTTAGCTCAGATCCGCGGTTACAATAGCGTGGTAAATAGATAGTGTTAACAACGCAAGATTTGGGACCTTTTTAGCAGTGCAACGTAGTATGTATATATATATATATATATATATATATATATATATATAGGTAACTCAATTTAAAGATCCGCTCAAGCCGACCGCTTAGCAGAAATAGTTGTTTGCATTTCTGTTCATTAAATATCTTTTGTAGGTCAATAGCTTTCGTCTATTTAAAAAACTCTGTCCTATTCGGTATTATTGGTGTTATGCAGCGTAAATATTAGCTCGTAAAATATCCTGTGCCGCAACTTTTTGATTGGAAAACCCGAATCAAATGACCCATGTTGTTACCTAACGTAGTCCGATATATAAATGTACGCAGGAGACGAGCCTTGCATATACGCAACATAGTCAAGCTAAACCGTATTAAAGGGGCGAAGAAGCACAACTTTATTAAAATAAAGTGACTCAAAGCACCCTTCCTAATAAATAGGTGAGTTAAATCCCCCAAAAGGTAGGAATATTTTAGCGTACAGAGCTACCTAACAGTTGCATTAGAATTATCGTACAGCGTCAACGTATCGTACTCCCTATGGCAACATTATGTAAAAGTTATTCCGTACAACACAACGTAAGTTTCAATCTGTGATTCAAAATCAATACTTAGAAGTTAAGCTTTACAATCCTAGATGAAATACTTTCAAAAAAGATCAAAACGCTAGTTGGGCAACCAGCGTCTTTAAATTTGTGTTGACGTTAGTCTTGTACCAAATGTCGCGTATTCCCGTTAAAAAATTCTCCCCTTTTAACATATATCAAATTGATTATTAAATACAATCCGTCCAATTACGATTTAATAGCAGTGCTCGTTTTCGTCAATAATTAGTATTTGCTTTTGCCAGGTGCATATAAAGCACGGCACAGTGAACGTGACTGGACATGACTCTGAGCTATGTGCGTAAAAGAATCGGGTCTGACGTTATCGAATCTGTACTAACTAGTGGTCATGATACGAACATCTATCAGACACTTTAATTCTCTACCCCAACCCAATCAGACGCTTCTCGTTATGGGACTAACGACTGCTAGTCGGAGTGCCTGCTTACTGCATCGTTTCCAGCGCAATCTAACGGTTCTTTTGGGGGACAGAGGGCTATGTCGTCGACCTATTTTACGACGTGTTTCAACAGAATACGTATTCCTCAGGCGTCATGTACGTGGGCTGCTTACAACGCCTTGTTCGATGAGATATCCGAATATCCATAATGGCAGGGTACCATTTTGTGCTAGGCAGATATATATCTGCGTAAATTCGAAATACAGAAAATCACAGGAATCTTATAAAGTGATAGATTGTTACTGCTGTTGCGACACTACTGTTGACTGTTCTACTCGTCCTGCATAGATATATGTTGTTTCTTTAGCATAATCAGGTCACAAGTACGGATTTCATCCTAATACGGGAACTCTGACAACAACATAGCAGAGACCTAGAAAATACGATAATCGAACATTTTTATATGATCTCTGCCGGTACTCACGTAATAACCTCCGTATCGATTCGACATGTTTACTGTTTCTGATGAACACTCGCGAAGTTCAGATGAAGACGACAGATTAGTCACTGTATTGAGTTGGATATCCACCGATCACTTAGGCAACATACATATTATCGGGCTCACGGAACTTGAAATCAAACAACAACAAATATACGACTATAGCATAATCTGACGAGCATAGTGGTCGACAACTGGGCAATTTAAGTTAAAATATAAACTGTGTAAAATTTTCTTTTTTCTTCGATATCTTCTTGGTTTTTTTGTTTTTCTAGTCGGACAGAACTAATTCAAAACATATGTACGCGGCTAATTTTGACAACACATGCTGACCGGCAAAGCCGAACAATGCTGGGTTCCGGTGTCGGTTTGAGCTTGGTCCTGTCGCAGAGAGGGCTGCTAGGTCCAGGCGGATGGCCCGCCCTAGGAAACGAAGGGCTGGTCCGATCAGAGGATCTCTTCTTGCTTAAGTAGCGTTGCCTTTTTGCCTAACAGCTTAGCATCAGTGGTTCTACGAGCCTGCAACAAGCAAATCTCATCGCTAATACTGACTTTGCAGTTACATTCAGTTCAGCTTTCAAGAAATACGCCGTCACATGTAAAGATGTTAGCGGAATTGTGTTGTGCGACATCCTTTACCGTTGCAGCGATTACCGACTGCGAATGGCCATGTGAACTATAGGTAAAGCAGACGAAAGCCCATAGAGCATCAACATCAGCGTCCGCGACAGGCCTGCAAGCACCAAAGAACTACTGCGGTTGCAGTAGCAGGCCGAGTTGTTTGCTCCCACAGTTTCCTTTAAACCCATATTAAACCACTAGAATCTCCTTCACATCCTGGCGGCGATAGCAAGCATTGCCAAACAACGGGGCGGCGTGAAAAGATGAGAACGCTGCTTGCTACCCAGTTTGTCTAGAAATGTAGTTCTGGGCATCGACAAGCCAGCCGGCCAGGCCTGCCGGGGGACCCACCAGCCGGTGATGACCGATGCACGCAGACACCGGTACTAGCCTAGTGGCTTCGACGCGGTGGTTGTTGATGCCGCCATAGCTGCTACCAAAATGACCGCAGCTACTGGCGTTGTTGCTTTTCCCTACCGGGACTGCCCTAGAGTGTCCTTAGGCTAACTGGTTTACTTCGTCGTCGTAATAAATAGTTATTACGACAGTGGTCGTAGTGAGTCTTGGGTTGCCACTAGATTCTGCAATTGGCTTCAGCCGCTCGGTGGTTAAGAGGCTGATGAGCATGCGAATCCGTTTCTGTCTGATTAGGTATATTCAGCGGGAAAGAAAAGGAGTCGAAGATAAAAAAAAAAAGGCAAGATTTATTATACGTGTTTTGTTGTTTTTCAATGACGAAACTTTGAATTAATATGCCTATATATGTGACTCAACGAGAGGTACGAAAACAATAATACCTTAATAATTTTGGAGTTGAAACGGATAGAAATGGGTTATGTATGCACAAATGGTGATCCCAGGTCCCAGGTCCAATTTATATGTTATCGATAAAAGAGGTGAGGAGTTAATGAACATTCGTTATCCAAATCTACCATTTATACAGAAATCTATGGGTAATAACTTGAACGAACAGTTTGAATACTTCTATTGGTATCTGTTGTCCGTTGCAACGTATTTCTGCAGGAAGTTTCGATATGGCCGTGCGCACTACACTGGTTCGGGTTCGCCCAATATCCAATGAAAACATAGATATAGTTGAAACCGTGGGAAGTTTGTTTACACGAAGGTGTTTTTGCTTCAAGCATGCTGACATTTGGCTCTGTTTGTTGAGACAGTTGGAAGATTTTGAAGATATTGACAGTTGGAAGACTCATCACAAAACTATGGTCGCCTTAGTTTCTTCAAGGATTTTTAATTATGACAGACCAAGGGTGAGACAAATGCTTCCTGCAATTTACAAAAAAATTACTAGAAGAATATGTGTTGTGTGTATTGCGTATTGTACAGAGGTAAAATGAACAATCACGAACCCTCCTTACGCTCTATTGTAAAGAACTAGGTAGTTGGTTAAAGATTGGCAGAACATTAGCTAAAGTATTTATACCCTAACGACGTCAGAATAGGCAGCTGTTCCATTCTTGGTATTCTGGACCATTACACCTGGCCATTGCCATCAGCGACATAAGTTTCTTAACCGGCCCCCGCTCTCATGGCGGCGTGCTGTCATCATTGTCCTCCACTAGTTCTGGCCTTCAAGCACTTTCACCCATCGTTTTTAGCATGGCCTTACAGCTTTCCCGTCCTGAAATATATACGGCCCAGCAACCATGGCCGTTTCTTGCTTACCGAACATTCATCTGATCTCTCGTCAAGCCTCAACAGCCAAACCCCCTTTTTCGATCGCTCTTTTCAGAGCCGGTCACAAGTCAACGACGGCCTGACGCCGCCATCAGTATTAACGAATGCAACGAGAACAGCTGCATCTATCTGCGAGACGGCCGGTAGTTCCACGATCTCGTCCTCCCGCTTCTGCACCTGAGCAGTAATCGGGCGGACAAATAGTTGGCCGACTTTGAGGTTGGTGGCTTAACTGCTTCAGCAGATTTGGTGAAGCGTCGGCGCTCTTGTTGCCATCAAATTTTGAAAGAGTAGGCACTTAACAATGAAAATATCGCGATGTGTAAGAGGTTCTAATTACATATGCATATATACAATGAAGAACTAGGTTATTGGCCAGTAACTGGCAATTTATCGGTCACCAGCTAGGGCCTTGATACTTTAACCGCATCTAAGCAGGCCGCTATTTCACGTTTATAATCGTGACCGTAATTATATGTAATCAATAGCTTCAAATCAATATTATTGAGAGTAACGCTGCAGTATTACTGCAATATTATAATAGCATTTCTTGCGCAGCTGAAATAAAAAATTTCTACAAAAAAAATGCTTGCCGTATATTATCGGCATGTTCATTCATTAAAAAAAAAATTCATCTTCAAAAAAGAAAAAAACGATACCCTCGAATGGTAAAACACGAGAAACATCAGAGGATGTTGCCTCTTGTGATTAAATTAATTATTAACAAGCACACTAACTGATTCAGCGTCGTGCGTGTCACGATTTTTATTAATGAAGAACATCGTTATATATCTGTTAGAGAAAATAAAAGGATTAGTTAATAGAGCCACATGACCCTGAATAAAGGCAAATATCTAATATCTCCATTCTCGTAAAATTAGATAAACTTTACGATCAGTTATTAAATCTCATGGATACGTATGGATATTCTGAAGTCTATCCTGAAGCAACATGCCTTTCTGGGTCTGCTCCTTTATTAGCAATTTCAATATGTTTATTTATAAACAAAGAGATACGGACTTCTTTAATCACCTTTTGATGATAACAAACAGCACCTGCGAGCCGCCTCGATCATTTCATTTACTTTACTAAACTAATATATAACCAATTAGCTCGAGTGTTTATTTCTTACACACATAATTGATGTCCAATATGCAACCGGTATATGTGAAAACTGTATCTTTTAACATATATTTTTATGCCAATAGTTTTTAGACGCGTAAGTATTTCACACCGTCAATTAAGGCAGTACTCGGGACCTATCAAGAATACGTAAAATTTTATAGTCAAACTGGAGGATAATGGCGGTCAAGCTGATCAGAGTTCCTATGTACGCGAACATTGTTGATTTGCGATTAACGAAGCAGTCGTATACGCACAGCGAGTCCCATTCTTCACGGTAGGCTAATACGTCACGAAGATCGAAGAAACTAAACTTAGTTTCTATCCACAGCTGACTTGACATCGAAGTTTGAACCTGTATATTCTTCTCATACAGACGTCTGTGAGTGCGCGAGGCAAGATTTATTAGCCGGCTTCCCATTTGACATGTGGTAAACGTCATTATCAGCTGTAGGGTCGAGCCTATGACGTAAAACGATAACAAAAACCACCTTCGCCTACTAAGAGTCACTATTTTATTAACGTTGAAGGCCACGAGGGTAAAAATCTTTAGATACAATAGAAATATAAACATTCCAAAGCGATCGTTAAGAGTGGCGATGTCGCGTCGCACTTTAGCCTTCGCGGAAAGTATGTAGTGGGCTGCTTTTTGGTTATTTTCGTATTTCACGACAGCGTCAATTGCCTGAAGTTTTTCGCAGATGTGAGCGGACGCCTGCACGTAAATCGTAATCGCTGCTAGCTCTATATTCCATATATAGATGGCGGATACACTGCCCATTATAATCAAAACAGAAGCCCTATCTCGAAGGTCATCGATGAGATACTTGCAGTCGATGATGAAGTACGGCGAATTTAAAAATATCATAAACGAAAATATGCGCAAATGGCTGGAGAAATTTATCTTGGGATTGTCCAGAGGTGGTAAAAGCTGTAAAATTGTATCTTGGCACCGAAAAATACTCAGTCCTGCTACGAACAGGATCGTCATTGAAAGCAAGTGATGCAGTCCTGTAATGATATCAATACAGCTGGCGTGAGAAGGAACTGTCTTGTACACCTTATAGGTACGGTTGATGACGAAAAATACGAAAGGCATTACGCTGACGATGCGACTCATTTTGGCTAGTGCAAACCTCATCGAGGTGCTTTTGTAAGGTGATCCTAACGTTTGCGTTTTAGGCTTCTTCTGTGTCAAATCGATCCCGTAGAGTAACATGAATATTTTATAGACTTCCAATAGGACTCGTCGGAGAACGTGTGTTTGAGCCGAACATTTTTTCGTATTCATAGCACTAAACCACAAGTTGGGACTGAAATGCGAACAAAAAGTTCAGCTACAATCCGATTTCTAACTGCTACTGGACTCTTCTTTAAGCTATCCTTTACGAGTGGAATAGCGATGTTATAGAATTATTACACCTAAATCGATTGATCCACACAAAGAGCTACCACGCCCTATTTCCATATAGATCGGGGTAATGTGGGTGAATCGTTTCGAGTAAGGCGCAGTCTGCACGGCCTGCCGTGTGAGGCAAAATATCACTTAAACAATACGAGACTTATATACCGTTATTAACTGCTTTTGTACCAGTGGCCACTATAAATGAGAGCTAATCGTGCGGTGATCTTTCAGTGAGATATACTAGTATGATAATTTGACTGAAGGATATTCAGTCACAGGCAAATGTTCAAGGCAGAGACTTGTGGAGAGGCCGCTTATATTCACTTTACAAGTTACTGTATTTCGCACGTATACTTACCGCGTTTCAACACCCGTTAGATCGCTTCGTAGCCATTGCGTAATGCTTCCACTTGACAAATAATCAACTTGATTCTTATCCAATAGAAATCGTGCTCAGCTGAGATACAAATTTAAACGACCAAGAAGATCGCTACTTGATCTGGATCTATGTAAAGGGGTACGCTATCAAAACACATGAATCAGTCGTGCAATTCGGTTGATGGCCACGAAATTACCCAATGCGTAATTTGTATATGAAAAATCATGTAGTTGCCGATTATTTGACCATCGTGTAAATGTAGCCATATCTATATTTTGTCCAAATCGTGTTATAGCAGTCCTTGTCATCAATCTTTGATTTGATGTAATGATTGGAGGCTAAGGGTAGAGTTCGCGTGTCTTCTTGGAGTCAATCGCTCCTGCTACCATCG